GATCAACCCCATATATACCGTACGTCTCTTCCTTGCTCAACTCACGTTTGGCTGGCACTACCAATAAAACCTTGCACTGGTTGCAATCATCCTTTTATTGGGATCGTTGGGATACGCATCGTGGAATCAGGTTCAGTGACAGTTTTAAGTGAGTTACAATACAAGATGCGTGAGGAACGTGCCTACGAGGAGAAGGTTGGGTTTCGCGTCAGTCGTGGTTGCATCGATCAAATCTTCACCCTCCAACAGTTGCTAGAGCACCGTCCTGCCTACCGCAGGCCAATGATCATTGTGTTTCTAAACATTCGCACAGTCTCCGATCCTGTCAACAGAATCGCACTATTGAATTGTATTTTTAGAAATGGAGCTTTAGACCACTTGGAGATAGAGGTATCCAGGTATGTGGTACGGTATGTGCTTTGCATCACCAAATTGCAAAGTGCTCGCGCAAGACTGGCAGGAGCCTCTGCCTGCAAATTAGAAACAGGTTTAAGTACCTCGGGAGCTTACTCACATCTGGAGTTGGGGTTGGAGAGATCACATCACGAATAGTGAAAGCCAGAGCAGCTCAACCTGCTGCACCTGTGGCGCCACCATGATATCCTGTTCCTTAAGGGCCGGATGCATATCGCCGCAGTTCGTAGTGTCCCGCTTCATGGTTGCGAAACGTAGACTCTCCGTGCGGAATATGCTAACCGACTGTCTGTATTTGACTACCGATGCCTTCGCAGCATTGCTCGCGTTTGGTGGGAACATCGGATGAGCAGTGATGAAATTCGTTGTCGTTTGCTGGTTACTGACAGTCATTCTCTAACGTGAGCAGATGTAAGTAATCGGTCTCCACCGCCTCCGATGGTTCTGACATGTTTTACGTATGCTTGCCGATTGAGTACCTCTCTGCTCTCTTTGTAAGTGCTAAGCAAGGCTGCAAAAAACGCCGCGGCGGTCAGACCATGACCTGGCGTAGACGTATAAAGAACTGCATTAGCTTCGGTTGGTGCAGTTCACCTTCCGGGATGGGGCCCAAGGGATGAGGGTTGCCAATGGTTAGAGACGCAGAGAAATGTGTCTCAGAATAGATGTCAGTGGCGCGACTACTGTGCGAGGTGTTTGTCGAAACTCCATTCTCAGTAACGGATATAAGCCTCAAAAACTGTACGGTGAAAATAAGAAAAACTATTAATTCATTCATTTGTTCTCTTTGCTCTCTGTTTTCCCCATTTTCATTTCATTTTTCTGCACCCCTCCCTGCCATTACAATCATTGGTTTTGCTTTAGATCCATGCTTGTTCTCAAGCCGGTGTGAAATATATATAAACTGCGTGATAACCTTGCCTGAGAAAGGGGGGTTACCAAATGGGTGCCAAGACCGACGCGCGAAAGTNATGGCTGTACAAACTGAACTAAAGTGATGGTCTTGTTGCCACGCCTGAACCAACAAAGAAATACATCGGATTTGACTAAATGAGAATAAGCAGTTTGTTTCTTGATGTTCGAGGGGATTATGAGGACGCTAATAAAAGACGTAAGCAACGAAACGCGGGAATCGTAGACGAAATCTTTCTTATTTAGATTGCTACTTGAATCACACTTGAGGTCGAAGTTATCTGTTGTTTTTTGTTAACCGCTGTTAAGGTTTGTCCTTTTGGGCTTATATACCTACTTAGTTTTCTGTCCACTCCTTCTCAGAGTCGTACAGTTTTTTTTAAGTGATCCAGGTTTGCTATTCCCGAGGATCTTCTAACTATACTTTGCAGTCCAGATATAATTTACTAGTCAGTTTTGTTTGTCTCCTTGTGAGTGATCGTGACCATTGATGCTACGTGGCTTTTTACCATGAGGCCACATTTGTTTTCATTACGTGCTCGTGTCTTGTTGTGTTTCATTAATATTTTGGGATCATTCTCTTTTCATTATGCAATATTTCAGATTGAAAAGAACAGAAAGCAGGAGGAATATGAAGCACAAGCTGCACTCAAGAATCGGATCCATCGATTGGACGAAGAAGAAGTGGAATACCTGAAAAACCTAGCTGAAAAGCAGCATAAAGTAGAGCTAGAGAATGAGAGAGAAGTGGCTGCGCTCCTAAAAGAAGCAAAGATATCCTTTGCATATGAACTACTATTCTGATCCAAAGTGTACCGCCAATTTAGTTGTAGTTTTCATGCGTTTAATCATTATAATTCTAAAACAACATTTAATGGGTGTTTTGGTCAGATTTCTGTGTTAAAACAGCGTCCCACTGTTTCCGAGTATAACACCGGTTTGAGAACAATCCCAATCGCAAAGGGACAAAAATAAAGGGGTTTTCAGATGGAAATGAAAAAACAGCATGAGGAAATCAAGAACCAAAACAAATCTTTTTTATTTACTTGATCCTACGTCTGTCTGTCTTTTGATGGGGCACGGGATTTGCGCCAGTGACTGTTGTTGGGAGCCATATTTCTCTAACCAATGGTAGTCTTTATCTGTTGGGTCCCAATCTGGAAAACGGTTGCACAAAACAAATCCAACGCTGAAGCTAACCACTTCGTATCTCTACACAAGGTCGTGATCTAAACCCCGCGATGCTTCTTAAAATCGTGCCTAGCATGTGCAAAAAGAGTACGGAGAGGTAGACGATGAGAAGGCTTATGAAAAACGACCGAGATACCATAGGTGTTGTCGAGTGATTCTCCTTTGCAAAGAACCACTATCAGCACCCAAAACATGACAGTGAACTTCACCTTGGCTCACTTGATGTTCCCACCAGATACGAGAAACACTTCAAAGACATCAGTGATCGAATGCAAGAAGTCGATTAGTGTCCTCAGCACGGAGAGGTCAGTTCTCAGGGCTCTAATCCAAGCACTACAAACCGCGGTGATGTGCACCTTTCTATTAAGTGATAATCAGATGGTATGGTGAAGCTGCAGGTGTCCACCGGTTAGCAAAACCGGCTCCAGCTTTCACTGTTCGCAATGTGATCCCTCCTCCAACACCGTTACCAGCTGCGATCCGACTCCCGAAGTAATTAAAACTTCACTGCTTCTAGGTGATCACCCCAAAGGTTGAATACAGGCTCAGGTTCCTGCCCATCTAGTACGAGCACTTTGCATTTGGACGGTACAACGCACACCACATCTAGATAACTCGATCATCAAATGATTCCTGACATCAGGGCATATTATAAAATCAGTGTTGGATTTGTTTAGACCTATAGAACCTTCATAATAATGATCAGTGAAAGATTGAAGTTACATTCATTGTCGGACTGTTTACTAATTAGGGATAAATATAGAAAATCACACCTTAGACAAAAATCCAGGTTCACCTAACCACACATTTCGCTCTAGAGAATGTAATTTTCAATACAATGAAATTTCCAATTAATCTAAAACAACTTTTTTCGTAGTTTTACCTCAAATTGCTTCATTATCCTTAACGCCCATGCGCGGCACACTCACCGACAGCCCGTTGCAACAGTAAGTTCTGAACCGGCCCAACCAAAACCTGCAATTCCAAGGAGTAACGCTACTAGTCAGCGTGCTCTTCTTGCCAACGCCGTTAAACGCACATTGTAAGTTGAGTATGCGTACCATGCTCTATTTATAAAATTTGGTTCCAGAGGCTCCCACGATTCTGTCAATTTGAGTCAATCCAAGCGACCGAATGTGGAAACTGGTGGTAAGTAACTGTTAGTATATCATTGGTCTATTACAACTGTGTGATAGTGGCTCCATAAACCTTATGAGTGCTACCTCTGGAATAGATACCTAATCTCAGTCTCGCATTTAGTTGCCGGACTTCATTCCAAGAAATGCAATGGTACTTAATTCACTGAGCGGGAGCAACTGCTCTTAGAGACATTCTTAGATCCAGTTCATTCTGAAACAAGAAACAATGACATAAGAATAAAACAGCGCGGGTGGATTGCGCGAGACAGGAAGATTGTAAATTTTCCATATCAAAGTATCGGGATAAAATGAAATAATGTACTCAGCTGACAGTGTCAACCAATACCCAAACACAAATAAAGCTATTCGAATGGGACGAATGGCTTCAGTCAGTAACAGTGTCTCCTGTTGATGGTTTTTTGACCCGCTGAAATTGTGATTTACCAAAGAATTCATCTTTGAATGAGAGCACATCAGGCGTTAGATTTCCTCTATAAACCCCTCTATGTATGTTGTACTTAGTTTACCAGGTCTCTGAGGACAGTTCACTAAAACTTGAAGATCGTCCTTGAAGTAGCGTTTAGATGGCAGTTACCCTTTGAGTCAAACCAAACGTGAGAAATCTAAATTGACCAACCAAATAAGACCTCCGCCGATGGCATATGGTGATGAATTCGGTATCGAGGTTTATTAGACACTTCGGACTTTTGATTCTGTCTAAAAGGTATATGATCCGATGAACTGGACACCGGCTCCCAATGCGTCGTAGTTTTCACACGCGACCCCGCTGCCTTGCGGGTCAGACTTGGTTAGACAAAGGTTTCGGTTGTGAATTCCCCCAGAATGTTCACCTGCTTTGGCGTGGGCAACCTGACAGTATTCATTCACGAGTCACGATCTGTCTTCTTTGTTATAAAGATCATTTCTACCGTGATTTGTCTGGCATACAGTCTGGACCCACACTTGATACATTTATATATCTTAAATGGGACCATTACAAACCTGTCAACATAGCGGCGTGCTTGTGACGAGGTTTGGGCGTCAAAACCTACAATACACCGTTCTCTTGGGGAAATTAAGTCCTGCGGCTCTTAGCCGTCAAGTGCATCTCCATGTTGCGGCGTGAATACATTTTTGAACACCACTTGAATAATTCGATGTATACGCTCTATATTTTCATGGTGCCTACTCAATTTTAATGCGCCATTATTTCAGGAAACGTCCATTCATAAATGATTCAGTTTGTAACTCGTAACATCCAATTTTCGGCGATTTATGCAATCTTTATAATGTGCTTGTCTCTAACCGATTGCTGTAGAATACCTTTGATATTGACGTGTAGGGCTCACTACACTATGGGTCCGGATTCAAGTGTCGTCAACCTCTTGAGCTGCATTAGAGTAGATGTGATACTTTCGTGGTCAGTAGTGTGAAGTTGTCGTAAACATTTGCGGACGGTGAGTGTGACTGAATCCGATAGCCTGCTTCATAACGTGTATATAATGTCGAAGGTTCTTGGTGTGCAACGTTACTTCCCTCTGACGTGTTCATAATTCATTCACCAACATTTTCTGTAGTAAGTAGTTTTTTGGTATCCCACACCTGCACTATTCCTATTCAAACGGGATCTTTGATTATCAGTGCTGTTCACCAGATAGATAGCATGCCTTCTTAATCATAGACTTAATCCACGGCATCATTTGCCGCACTGTGATTACGGTTACCGTACGATTCCGCCTCCATTATCGACCTCGTTCTTCTCCCTCTCCATCAGGCGCATTGCATGTGACGGGAGACGGCAGTATCACTCCACGAGGCAATCTAATCAGTGCGTCCAATAACACAAATTCTGTTGAGGTGTCCACTGCAAATGGGTCGGACGGTTTACTACCCGGATTGGCAAATTATTCATCCTCAGACTCCGACTCCTCCTCCGACTCGGACTCGGAATCTACGGACGTGGAGGATGCCGCCTGTACGCTCTATGAAGTAGCTGCTACGCGAATTCGCAAGGCCAAAGCGCCGTCTGGAGAAGAAAGCTGACCAACGTCTAAATGCCTATGTGTTGATGTGTCCAGTCTCACTTGTAATTGTATCTGATTCGGATATGTCTGTACAGTCCTGAACTTTGTGCTCTTGCAATCCACGCTTAATAGTAGAACACTGTCACATGTATTGAATTTTGACTGGTGGAATTCGCGTGGTATAAATCCTAATTGTTTAAAATCATGGATGTAAGGTTTTGATCATAAAACTCGGGAAATTCAAAAGAATAAATTTGTTTTTCCTCAATCTTCCTTGTGTTTTCAATTCTCTCAAGAAAGGAACAAAGAAAGCACAGGTGGCGCTTTTAGCCGGCAGAGTTGAAAAAAAACAGATGGCGTAACTTTTACTCCAAATAACTGCAGTATTCAATTAGACGCGGTGTGCATCAATCCAGGACTTAGGCTGTACATTAGCAACCAATAGCAATGCAAGTCGATGAAATGTTGTTGTTGGTGTGTTCTCCGAGCTAAAAGTGTTGTCCGTAGACGTTTCGTTGCCAGGCTAGGCAACATCATCAAGGCAGCTTCCCCTGTACACTGTCTACAATACAAACTGTTGAGATCGGGTAGAGACATCCGAGTGAGTCCACTTAACATAACTCACCAATACTGGGCAGGGTGACGGCTACAAAACAACTGACTGGCTCCCTGGGGTGAATGACTGAAATCGCAATGATTCATTTTGTAAGATTGATGATGTTGCGGTTGGTGCATGTAATCGCGAATGCACTCACCTACAAACTGACCGACGTTAAATCATGTAATGCCAACTGTTTCATCCTTCTCGGTGCCGATGACTCGGCGTTAGACACGGGTCACCCCATTTGAAACTCAAGTGACAAACGGGTTGGGTGCAGAGAGACGATCACGGTGATCAAAAGCATGAAACAGGTGTTTAAGACAGAATGGGTATGCCTAAATTGATTGGCATGCGCCATTTTGCTTACAGTGGTCAATGGAAATCATAACGTGATAACATATGGGCAAGTATTGCAACGGTGATAATGCGATCACAGAGATAGAAGGAAGTTTCGAAACTGTTTGTTTGTTTGTGTGTGTATGTGTGTGTGTACCCCTACGTTTGTGTAGCACAGTTAGATTAAGCTTGGATTTTATTACACAAAAGCAGTTGGGGTAAGCTCCATAGTCAGGAGGACCTGCTGTTCTGCGATGGAAACCGGTAATCTAAGCCCCGGGACTTGTAGCGGTGAACCATATAAGGCCCCGCTAGGTTAGGCGTGGTATTGAACCGGACAAAACAAAGCTGGGTAAAAGCAGAAGCATC